ACCGGTTTTGAAAACACGAAATAAAAACAACGATAAAGAAGTACCGAAATTGAGGTTAGTACCATATTTAAACTAGGGGTCTCGAAAGTTTAACTTTATTACCATAGATAAGCCTTGAACTAGAAATAATCTTCGTTTTGTAATAATGTTTATTTAGTTCATGGTTTTAACCTAGTACTAACTCCGGTACTATATTTAGTCCGTATTTTGGAATAAGACCGTATAAGTTTAAGGACATTAAAATTTTCGTATAACTGAACTAATATATTATACTTTTATAAGATTGTAACTGCTAGTATTTGGTCATAAGGCATTCACATGTCTTAATTGGCAAATCGTAAATAAATCTCATCTTGACTAGATAACTCTTAACTAGATCTTTGCTTATAAAGCAACTGATTTTTTTAGTCGCGTTCACCTTAAGAAAATACGAGAAGAAATATAATATTGTGCAAACGGTCAAGGTCTCTGCAAATCGATTAAGCTGATTCGAGGCACTACAAATCGTGACCCCAGCTAGCTTGACATGGCCAATTTACTGGGACGGACGATCGCTGAAAAAAGGAATTTCTAGTAAAATCTTAGTGTAAATCAATGTTGTGCACTCTCGGGGTCAACTAAGCTGAAAAAGCTCGTTACAGGTGAAAAGGGTCTCTGGTTCTATTTGTTATAATATCCTATATATTATATCCGGTTCTACATATAAAGCAGTATTATATTGATATGTCATGCTGAGGGCGTGATCTTTTTGCGATCGAGCCGACCCATTCAAAATACACTTCGTTGCTTTATAATATATAAACAGTTACTTATTCGTTTTCTTTTAATACTAAAAATCTAAATTGAATGCAAAAATTTAAAACTGATTAACTTTTAAGATAATTAATATAATCAGGTGTTACTTTGCGAAAATCCATTATATTAAATATGTACCTATGTAATTAATTAATTAGCTAAAATTCACTTAATAAAACAAAATTATGTGTCTTATATAGTTTGAAGAGCTCTTCAAACTATGTAAGGATGTAAGCTAAGAGACGCTAAGTAACGGTAGCATATTATATGATGAAGCTATTTTAATTTTTATGATGTCAACTTGATCAACCTAATTTATTTTTTATAATAGGTTAATGATATAAAAAAATTGAATGTATGACCACAGAAGTTCCATAAATACGACCTACCATGTTTTTTCTTTTTACCGTTTACAATCTGACTATATTATGTTCTTATTGTGCGCGCTGCGCGACATCTTTATCAATTGTGTACCTATTTTGATTTTTCTTTTATTAAATAGGTTATATACTCAAGGAGTTGTCAAAACACCCAAGAATAGCAAAATAGGGTAAATAAAGTATGATGTTCCTTAGTCCAATCAAAAGGGTAAAAAAATTACTTTTATTAAAAGTGAAAGCTAACTTTAAATAATTAAAAGGAATAAAATAATTTCACATTCTAAAGGTGGGGAATTAATTCTTCTACAAATATCTTGCAGCGACTTTAAATTTTAATATTATTTTATTTTATTAAACTTCTTTGAAATTGATTTTTACATTTTATTACAAGTGGTAAAATTAAAAATTTTGTACAACCGACTTCAATATAATTAAAATGAAAACATCATCAATGTATTCGAATTCAATTAAATACGCATTATTAAAGATGATAGAGCCGTGGTAGCTCAGATGGTTAACGGTCGCTGTAAATATAACTAAACGCGAATAACCCAGGTTCGATCCCCGCCGGCACCAACGAAATTGTTTAATTGCAATTTTAAGTGCTGATTTACCACGTGCTCGGCGGTGAAGGAAAACATCGTGAGGAAACCTGCATGTCTGAGGAATAAGAAAAAAATATTACGAAGACATGTGAAGTTCGCCACCATGCATTGGGGCAGCGCTGTTGACACTTCCTTGCCCTGAAACCCTCTCAGAAATGAGGGGAGGCCTGTGCCCAACAGTGGGACGTATATAGGCTAAAACTTTACTTTTTCTTTTATTAAAGATAACTCAAAAACTACTAGTTAGGTCTTGATTTAATTTATATGTAACCACACGAGAAGCACCAGGTTCCAGTTAAAAAAAAAGAATCATCAAAATCGGTTCACCCAGAGCAAAGTTCTGAGGTAACACACATAAAAAAACATACAGTCGAATTCAATACTTCCTACTTTTTGTAGTCGGTAAAAAGATAATTTTTCTTATAACCTAACATTGCAAGATTCATTCTTTATAATCAAGATAGTTACAATAAAAATATCAAAATTGCACTTAGCTAATCGTAGATTTTCAATTACTTTAAATTGTTGCCGACGCGGAGTTAGCGTAATATTTTGTTCCTAGCCCTAGTTCAATCAGTGTGACCTAGTTTCATGAGTAACTACTTGCATATTGAAATGAACTCAATGGATCTAAGAAAACACGTACGCAATAGAAATGGTATTGAACGTGAAACAAAACCACGCAAATTAAGAAGTGGAAACTATGCTAAGAAACTCAAGGTCCATATTTTTATGTCCGGATTTGTGCTGTGGATTGGCGGCCACTATGGCAGGAAAAATAGCGATGTAACGATCTCGTTTACCGTAACCGTTACAGCCTATTAAAGTACACTGATGAAAATAGGCCTCCCCCATTGATTGCCTCATAGGGGGATATTTGCCATAGTTGCCACGCTTGGCAAGTGGGTTGGCAACCACTTTTTTATTTAATTTTCATCGTTATTAGGAAGACGCTGCTGCCAGTCCCCTGCTTTGTTACTCTCTGTGGCCTCTTACGACACCCACTGGATGATATGGGCTAGTGGATATTCTCACGCCACTACACGGTTAGTTACACCTTGTTTACGCTAGGTGTAAAATACTTAGACCAGCGACGGGCAGCTACATGGGAGCACTAGCAAATGTGGGAGACGTTTTTTTATTCAGGACAACATACAATTTTATAACAGTGCTTAAACCAAACAACAATAAATGTTTAGTATCATATATACATTTTAGGTATATCATACCATCATCATTAATCCGCCTGCCAAGTGACGATAAGGGAAATCTTCTCAAGAAGAATAAAAAAATTGTTTTAGGGATTTAAAAAATAAAAGGATTTAATTAAAAAAAAAGTTTTATAACATTTTGCAAAATTAAAATTTGAAATTATTTATTTACATTTTAAGTTTAATGTTTTAAATGTATTCATTATCGTGTTGTAGCGGTGTAAAATATTTACTACCCCATGATATCCCGTGGGTGTCGTAAGAGCGACAGAGGGAGACTGGATCAGGAGACGGGCAGCAGCGTCTTCCTGATAACAGCTCAAAATAACAAAAAAACTGCGGCTGCCAATCCGTTGCTAACGTGGCAACTGTGGCAAAATTCCTCCATGAGGGAATCTATGAGGGAAGCCTGTGTCCAGCAGTGGACTTTTACAGACTGCAATGGATGAACGAATGTGATATACTCTCTATGTCTCTGCCCCGATGAAACGCTAATTTCAAAAACCCTGAGTCTGTGTATCCATCCTTACTGTACCTCAAAAACTAATTCATGCGCTACATACGTGGTAGAGCCACGCTGTATCTATATTATAGTTATAGCACGAATGGGTCGGTTAGAACGGGGAAGGACCACGCTCTCACAGAATACCAGCGTAAAAAATCAGCTTAATGCTGCTGTGTTTCGTATGAGTGTAGAGATCCGGATACTCTTTTTTACTGGAAATGAGGCATTACATCTTAGTACTCGGGGGTGACAACACATCTGTATTTTGATTCTTAATTGAGGATAAATGTAGATGTCTATGGGCTACAGCATCCACTTACCACCAGGTGGACTGTGTGCTCATTTGTCACCCTTATTCTATTAAAATATACAATTTCTTTCGTTTACTAGATTTAATCAAGTGATAATATTAAATGTTGTTATATTATGGGTATGACTCAGAAAACCATTAATAAATGCATCTGTAAACGCACCTGCCAGCTTCCTCATAGAACCATTTTGTCTTCTCCCCCCGCAGCTATATATTGTAGCATGAATGGGATGACCCCCTTACAGAATACCAGAGTAAAATAACAGCATAATGCTGCTGTTTCATAAGATGAATGTAGAGAAAAGGGCCCTTTTACTAGAAACGACGCATTCCATCTTAGTCTTCAAGGGTGGCAACGTTTGCAATTCTATTCTTAATCGGAGACAGATGTAGATGTCTGTGGGCCACAGCATCTTTTCTACTTTTTCAATTTGAAGCTGCTCAATATGTCGTTGAACTAACTAATAAACTAATTACTAAATAAAGCTAATGTGGCTTGTTGATTTAAAGGAATATAATATGAGATCATAAATTCATTAATTGCAGCCTATTACAAATTCTCTAAACCTATAGGTACAAACATAGAACTTCCAATATAAACTTCCTTATAGAGGAATATTTAGCATAATTAGCACGCTTCGGATAGGCAACTGCAATTTTAATGTTTTCAGTGTTACCAGGTAGACACTGCTGCCCATCTCCTGCTCCTTTTGTAAGAGACGCTTACAACACTTTATAATAGAATAAAAACGTGTATTCGTTGTCTGCCTGATGGTACTCGTAGGTAGATGCTGCGGCCCATAGACATCTACATCTAAACTCGATTAAGACTCAAAACAGACGCGTTGTGAACTCTGAGGACGGAAATGGAATGTCCCGTTTTCATTAAAAAGGTTCTCTACACTCACCATACAAAACAGTTGCTGCTTAAAGCTGCTATTTTACGCTGTTATTCTGTGAGAGCATAGTCCTCCCCGACAGAACCGACCTATTAGCGCTACAACTATAATATAGCTGCATAATGTGCAGTGTGAAGGTAAAGTTTAAATTTGTAACAGATTCTGAAATGAAGTGGAGAAATATATGAAAAGTGTAAGGTGTACGTCAAACTCGGCGACGCGTGACAGTGTTTGAGCAATCTGCGGTGCCACAAAACTGCGTGTACACCGCTCCCGCGTGACACTCGTTCGCGCCATGTCGCGCGCCGCGTTGCTCCTGCAGCTGTCGTGTTTGCTGCTGGCTTCACGAGAGCAAATCTATGGCCAGCCCGCCGAACTAGGAAGCGCTAACTCCTTCGACGACCCAAACATCGATCCCAATGGCAGTTTGATTGCTGATATTAATAATGATACAACGTTATTCGATGCATCCAACGAAACGCTTGACGGTGATCATGAACCGATTGTGCGTAAGAAACGGACATTCGGCGACATTGTGTTCAGAGGACTAGCTGACGTGTTGGGTTATAGTGTAGCGAGGAAACCTCCAGAAGTAGCGTTCCCGCCACCTCTTGATCCTGTTCCTGGAATTGATTTGCCACTTCAAGCAGCTGCCCCGGCTCCAGCTCCAACACCAGCACCTGCTCCAGCAACGCCACCTTGTGGGCCACCTCGGGCAGCAGCGCCACCACCTTGTAGGGCTCAGCGGCCTCCTCCTCCTCCCCCAAGACCAAAGCCACCACCTCCTTGTCCAACGCCTAGAGCTCCTAGACCAAAGCCGCGAACTCCACGACCACCACCACCTCCACCACCCCCTCCACCACCACCTCCACCACCTTGTGCTAAACCACGTGCAAACCCCACCACACCTTCACCTTGTGCCCCACCGCCGCCACCTCCACCACCACCAAAACAGGCCGATAACTTAGAAACTATCACTTCAAACTTCCGTCTAAATTTCAACTTTAACAGGGCCCCGGCTGGGGCTGCAGCTACACCTGCTCCTGCTGAAGCAAATGCAGAAGAACAGGAGCAAGAGCAAGAACAGGAACAAGTGATTCCTGTGTCATTTGAACCGAGAGCTGCTCGGTTGCCTCCAGCACAGCCTCGCCAACCTCGTGTTTATGTAGACGCCTTTGTCGTACAAAATGGAGTGGCGCAGAAAGTAGACGCTGTGGACGCTCAACATTTTAACTCGCGAAGAGCGCCCCTAGAAGATGACTATCTTGCTTATGATGAAGAAGAAAGTCAGCAAGCCACTGAAGATGATTATGAGGATGTCCAGGAATCTCGTGACAGAGCGAAAGCAGTACGTGACTTTGGTAATGCTGTTGACAAATTTTGGGAGCCCAAGAGACAACCCAAAAGAAAGCTTCCCGCAAACGATTATCGAAACGTACACTTTGGGGATCGTGATTTAGCCGATCAATTACAACGACGCAGCGACCGTGAATTACATCAGAGTTTGCAACATGCACGCCAACACCCAAATAGGATATCCTTGCCCTTACCCGAAGACGAAAAAGAAGCAGAAATTACTACGACAACAGAAGACCCGAAACGTCCATTAAATCCAAAAGTGCTACCGCCAACAGAGCACAATCCAGGCCAAATTGACACCGTTACTGTACGAGTACCACCAATTTATAAGGCAAGACGTCCAAAAAAATTAAATCGGGGAAGGTCGGATCAACCTGAGCGACGCGATGAACCCGACCATGATAAACCTGACCGCGATGAAGATAGTGAAATGCGGGATGGATCGACAGAAAATGAGGGTGATAACGATGCAGATGTTGAGAACAGTGCGTTGGTTACCCGAACAGAACGACCCGTTAGACGTAAGCGTCGTCGCAAACAGCCACGTGAAAAGCGATCAGTAGAAAATGAGCCATACTCCGCCGGGGATTATGATTATTATGGAAAAAAGCTTCCTATATCTGACGAAGAGAAATTTTTTATGGCACTAACTGTACCATCCCCTACGAAAGACGCCGATATCGTTCGTTTAGAGGAAAGTTCCGATGACAGTTATTTTTTAGACGATAATGAAAGAATTCGCGAGGATCCGGAGAGAGTGACACAAAATGAAAGATCTAATGACGAAAGTGCAGAAGATTCTGAAAGGACTGATGATTTGGAAAGAATGGATGAAAAAGAACGTTTGATTAAAGATATTGAAAAATCCGGGGACTCGGAGCGCGCTGACGAGCAAGAGCGCTCCGATAAACTGAGTCCCAACGCGAAAATCCACGAGACCGGCTTCCGGAATAACTATGTTCGGGCAACCAACGTCCAAATCGACGACCCAAGACCAAACGTTGCATCAGTAAAACAGAAAACGATAAGGATTGGCGAAATGTGACCCATCACTCGACTCGCCGAGCAAGCGCCTGCCATAAACATTATTTATTTTAAATGTACAGGAACACAACCATGTCGTTTTTGCTGACAATCCAACAGTACCTAAAACAACGTTAATATATCGAAATGTACTAAAGATTCGTCGATCACCTGTGATGTTATAGTTTAAGTTTGTACGCGTCGTCATATTTTTATATTTTAGTTATTAGAAATTTGTATCTATAAGTTTCTTAATAAACCGTTTCGTAATAAATTTGTTTCATTATTAGTTTTGCTGAGGCGTCAAATCGGTTATTGCTGGGGCGTGAAATTCGATTTTCACGTCGAGGCAATGACAACGTCGGTCGGCTATGTGGGTGAAGGTCCGCTAGATGAAATTGAAAACATAATAAGACCGAGGGCCATTGGCCTACGGTGACCAGCATGCAAAATTATTTGCACCTTGTCTGTTAATAATAATTATAATTAAATCTTAACAAAAAAAGAGTTCAAGGATTTATTTTTTCTAAGATATAACTCCTATAAGGCAGTAAAAGATATTTAATTTATAACTTTTTTAGCTTTTGCCCGCAACTTCGATGATTGGCCAATAAGTTATTCCAAGACCGCATTAATAATTAAATATAGAATTACTCTCCAGATCTATCTCACACGAGTCTGTTTTTTCCGGGATAAAAAGTCAGTGTCACTCACCGCCCTATAAAAAAATATGTCAATCTGTACCGTGCCCCGTTTCTGCGTGAATTATGGACAAACTAACAATCACACTTTCGAATTTATACTACCTACTAAGTGAAGATAAAATTAAAAACAAATTAATTTATATCATATTAATAGTAACCAATAATTTTTCTTTTAATGTAGTAAAATCTTTGGTTTTGGGATTGTAGATAGGATTACTAGTGAGATTATTGCAATAATTTTTCTTTTAATGTAGTAAAATCTTTGGTTTCCTGGAAGAGATCGCTATGTAGCGATAAGGCCGCCAATTTGTACATATTATAATCTGCTTTTTGTTTTGTTATCTGTATATTTGTTTTGGTGTACAATAAAAAGATTATTATTTATTCATTCATAAGATTGTGATACAGTTTTAGGTTTTAGTAACAGTTTTATTATTCAATAAGCTGAGAAAGTAAAAAATCGATTTAAAATTAGTTTTTATCGATTTCTAACGTATATAATGGTGATTGGTGAAAAACAAGTCAACTCTAATGTAATTGTAGTGGTTGCTATGACCCATAAACATCTGCATCTATAATTGACAAAGAATCAAAATGCAGATGCATTATCACCCCTGAGGACTAAGACGGTAGACCGCGTTACCAATAAAATAATCTTCAGTTCCTTGCACTCGTCTTCACTATCTTCTTTTTTCTTTAAAAAAAAAACGTTAACCTCACACTAGGATTTTCTCCTGTATCGTGGAGGCAGTTTACAAACATGAATTGCACAAGGAAAAACATTCAGACCAGGAACAATTATTTTTTGGCCATACAAATACTTGTTCCGTGCAGGATTCGAACCCGCGGCCCTCAGCACAGCCACTCATTATTAAGCCACTGCGTCACGGCCGTCATACACATACATCTTCACGATAGTATTTTGTGAGAGCGTGGTTCTTTCCCGGCAGATTGGTTCTATCAGGTAAAAAAAAATCTAAATTTGCTTCTGCCCGAGGATTTGCCTTCGTGGATACAGTTCAATGCTCTTATTTACCTGACGTAAAAATTCCAATATTTATAATATAGTGCCTGTACCAGTGTGCTTAATTCTATCCAATCATTTCCAAAGCGAACATTGCTACATTGAGAAACAAACATTTTCACATATATAATTTTAGTACAATTTTTACATTTAACATAAGTCTCGACTGGATGGTATTCAAAACGTACATCGAAAGAGAACGCAGGAAAGCCCTCGACGATTGTTTAGTGGCGGTTTTTGAATCCGCAAAACCGCAATGTCTGCCAATGTCTCAATATACAAATACCCGCCTTTTGTTAAAAAAAAAAGGCCTGGTTGTAGGTGGGTGGTTTTGTGGGTTTGTTTGTTCTTTTTCACTTTATATTTCTACCCCCTCTGCAAAACTCATAAAAGCTAGTTTAGTCTGATTACATACTTTGTAGTATATTGTTAGAAATTTAAATATTTTCTGAATACTACTAAAGGATCCAAATTGGTGGACTCTAAAGTCCAATGTCAAATACTGCAACCTTAAAAATGTAATGTACTTAAATTAGTTTTGTTTAAAATATTTTTGTCGCCTCTTAACTAAATAAACCTTTTATTTTTAATATTTATTTGTCCCGAGAGCAATCCCAAAATCTCGACTTTGTCACAATATGTCCACATATTTTGGCCTTCCGATCTTGGAAACCTACCTGGACGTCGTAAGAATGGATGAATGCACAAAGATACGCAAAAATTCTGGACCGATATGACTTTATGAAACGAGCTTACAATTTCTATTGAAAAAAAAAAGAATTTACTATCGGAAAAGGACCCTCGAAATCGAGCAAAACGGAAAAAATGAGTAGAAAAGCAGAGCCATAGCCAGGACAAATGGTTTGTTTTTGTCTAAAGTTATGCTGTACTAAGATTCTCTAAAGTTAGCATTTATTCTCTATTTTTCTCCAGGGTTTTTGGATCAGGTAACGGCGCAACAAAAAGCAGGTTGCATCAATTCCATTGCGTGCAGTTGCAGTCAAACCGCAACAAAATGTCTGCGCGGCGGCAGTCACGAAGAAGTATTGCTTTCTTGGCCAATTCTTTGATAGGCGTTCGTTGCAACTGTTCTTAATACTAAAAGCCGTTACCTTATTGTACAATACAATGTAATGCTTTTTATTGTACACCAAGGAAATATTAATATTACAAAAATAAACAAATAATGAGGGAAGAACTAAAAGCGGTCTTATTTTTTATAGGTGTAAGAATATCTAATATCATGGAGGCAGTTTATACAAGCAAAAACATTCAGATCCGAAACAATTATTTGTAGGGCATACAAATACTTGTTGCATGTGGGATTTGAACCTGCGGTTCTTAGCGCTGCATCTCAATACCGTCTGCTGCCCTTCCGGTCTGAGTATTTTGCTGCTTTATTTCACGATGTAGTGCTATTTCACGATACGTTTTTTTATATAATTAGGGTAACAAGTACACAGTCCATCTGATGGTAAGTGGATGCTGCGGATCATAGACATCTGTATCTATTCTTGTTTACGAATCATAATGCTGATGCGTTGTTACCCGTGAGGACCAAGATAGAATGCCTCGATTTAATTAAAAGGGGTCTTCGGTTCTATATACTCACCATATGAAATAAAGCAGCATTAAGCTGCTATTTGACGATGGTATTCTATGATAGAGTGGTCGTACCCGGTTAAGCCGACCCATTCGTGCTGTAGTCAGCAGTATGGCTCTACCATTTATAAAATTATTTACGAAATTCAAAGCAGAGGTAGCCCATTTAGACACGGTAAATTACAATATCGTTTGATAAACGAAATATTAATCACTTGAGGCGTAGAAATAAAGATAGGTATTTCATATCACAATTAATTAATAGGAGTAATGGATATAGATTTGCACATATCGTCACCATCGTGGGTTAACTGCTTGCCATGCTGCATCCGTTAAGATGTTGGCCCGGAGCCACGCGTTGGCAACAAGATTAGCTTTGAGTGGAGCAAATTGTTGCGTCAATTATGTGAAGGGGCCAAGTAATGGCTGTGCTTGATATATTCGTTGAATATTGATTTGACTGCAAAAACCTCAACATAATATAAAGCCTCTACGAAAAAATAAAAATGTCGGTTTTATTTTCTTATTTATTTAAAACACATACGCCACATTAAACACAATAAAATAAAAATAAATGTTTTTTTTAAAGAATAAGGGTAAGAGGGTAGATATTGTGGCTTCTTTCATCTTTCATCGGAGACATCTACATTTATACCCGCTTAAGAATCAAAATGCATGTGCGTTATCACCCATGAGGACTAAGATGGAACACCTCGTCATCATCATCATCATCATTACAGCCCTTTACAAGTCCACTGCTGAACATAGGCCTCCCCCAAGGTATGCCACAAAGCACGGTCCTGAGCCATCTGCATCCATCGACTTCCTGCATGTCTTACCAGGTCGTCACTCCACCTATTGGGGGGTCGCCCTACACTTCGTCTACCGGTACGAGGCTGCCACTCGAGAACCTTTTTTCCCCAACGGTTGTCGGTTCTTCGAGCTATATGGCCGGCTCATTGCCACTTCAGCTTACTAATCCGTTGGACTATGTCGTCACTCTGGTTCTACTGCAGATATCCTCATTTCTGTTTATCACGCAGAGAAACTCTGAGCATAGCCCTCTCGATAGCTCGCTGAGCGACTTTGAGCGTCCTCATACGGCCAGCAGTGAAGGACTATGTCTCAGTTCCATATGTCATCACTGGCAACACGCACTGGTTGTACAACTTAGTTTTCAGGTTTTGAGGTATACCTGACGAGAAGATGTGTCGTAATTTCCCGAACGCTGCCCAGCCGAGTTGAATCCGTCGATTGACCTCTCGGTCGAAGTTGGATTTACTTAGCCGGACTATTTGTCCCAGGTAAACGTACTAGTCAACAACTTCGAGCTTAGTGCTCCCAACAACTACCGGCATAGGTGTGACACTATACATGTGAAGACACTACACATGGACATTAAACATGATCTTTGTTTTGTCCATGTTCATCTTAAGACCTATCCGTTGGGTAGGCTCAAACTATTGAGGTCATTGAGCATAGTGCTTAAGTCCTCCAGCGATTCTGCCATAAAAGGACTATATCGTCGGCAAATCGAAGGTGAGTGATGTACTCGCCATTGATGTTAATACCGTATCCTTCCCAGTCCAGTAGCTTGAAAACCTCTTCCAGTGCAGCGGTGAAAAGTTTCGGGGAAATAATGTCACCCTGTCTTATACCTCTCTGCAGTTGGATAGGTTTCGTACTCTGGTT